TATTTTGTCATATCTTGCCCTGTCCGACTTCTCCCTTCACCCACTTTTCTGTTGTCCGTCCCCCAGGGAGGAGGTCACAGGGCTTACGATTTCAAACAGCTTGGTAGGGGTTAGGGATAATTTTACATATAGCACTGACTTTATTTAATACCTGTAGTACTAGCCACGTGGCTCCCACAGCTGAGGGCAAACGTGAATCCTAAAAAAAGAATGAGATGCAGTGTTACTGGGAAGCATCACACAGTTCTGCTCAACCACGGCCAGGCTGGTGCCTTCTCTGCTTTCCTCTCTGTCATCTCCGCAGGCAGAGGGAGACAGCTTTTGCTGCCATGCCTACCTTCGTGGGCAGTTCCGAATGAGAGCAAAGGTGAAACTGACAGCTACTTGACCCAGAGAAATATCCAGGGTGAAATAAGATCGTGTTCAAGAAAATGCACGTGTTGGGCATGGAAGGGCGTTCTGGCCAGCACTCAGGAGCGACGGGGCAGGGAGACTAGCAAACCATGCACAGAGAGTAGGCTGAAGAGAACACAACTGGCGGGTCCCATGCCTTCCTTGACAACATGCTTTCAGTTAGACTGATCTTTCCTTGGTGCTGTCACCCAATTCCCGGACATCCCCTGGCCTCAGCCACCTAAATAAAGACATTGGCAGCAGGGCCGAACTCAATTCCAGATGCCCAGTGATAATTCACCATATTAAATATTGACACTCTCTCAATATTAGAGGCCAAGGGCCTTAAAATGATATTAATCACCCAAATAGCCTTCTTGTCTGATGTCAGGACAGCCTCTTTGAGGCACTCTTTTGCCTAAGAGGACTGTTGTGTGGGATCCAGTCCCACAGATGGCTGGATCCCCAGGGACGGTTGTGTAATTGAAGGGAAGACATTAAAAGACAGACAAAAGTTTTGGGTGCTCACCTCTGAAGTGGCATCAGGAACCAGGTCTGAGCAGAGAGAAAGAATGTATTCTTAGATCAGCTTTTACAATCTCAGGCATGCAAGCCATGGTAGGCAAATACATCATAGGAAGGGGTTGTATTAGAGGCATACATGTAACAGGAGGGGGCTGAGCTAGGGGTTTAGGCCCAATAGAAAGGGGAGGTACTAGCGGCATACATGTGACAGAAAGATACAAACACAAGGTGGATGGGCTCTAGAGTTAAGATGGCCACCTAACCTAACCTTAAGTCATCTCTGAGCTGGCTTGACCTTGAGTGTCTCAAGGGGAATAATTTATGATCCTTTATCAGAAGGGAGTGGGCCCAACTAAGGATGAGACAGACAGTAGGGTCTGATTGCTCTCCACCTTCAGGCAAGTAGCCTTCAAGCAGTTGACCTTCAAGAGTACATAGTAGCAGCCATGTGCTTACAAGCACCTTACAACTGGCATTAGTATGGGGGACGTATGGGGAATAGCCTTTACTTAGGAGAATGTGACTGGACCGCATCTCCAACCCACAGACGTGAAGGTCTCCCTCTACAGGGGGCTTGACCTCGCAGACTCCTTACCATATGAGTGTAGAGAATTTGTCTGCATACACTCTCTACCCGGGTCTGTTTCCCACATTACTGTATTCCAGCGACATGTCCTTTGACCTCTTGTTTCCAGTTTCACTAGCGCTAAGTCCATTACCACAAAGCTACAATTCTTAAATCTATAGAACTCTGAAAATTAAAGTTTTTGTCTTTTTGTAGTCACCTTCAATATTGTCTCTGTACTTGTATCTCAAACTTCTTTGATGTAATGTCACACTGTTGTTGGTGTGTAATGTGTATTTGAGGCATACATTCGTCTCAATTAGCATACATATGCATATTCTCCTGCAGAGTTCCAGACTCACAAAACCCATAGGAGCTGTTCTACCCTGTCAAATAGGGTCATTTTGAGTCAGAATCAACCAGATGGCACAATGTGGCTTTTTGAGTTTGGTCTGTGGACCAGTGGAAATGGTGCATTACACACCTTTCTAAAGCTGAGAAATGTTTAGTTCCAGTGCACGGGTGAAACCTGGGGAGACAGAATGCATGTCCTTGAGTCTGGCATGCCTTTGGTCCACTTATTACCAAGTAACCACCAAGCCAATACTGACTCCTGGTGACCCCATGTGTGTCAGAGTAGGACTGTACTTCAATGTTTTCAGTGGACCACTTTTGGGACGTAGACCACCAGGCCTTTCTTTTCAGGCCTCTCTTGGTAGACTCATATACTCAGCCTTTGGTTTAGAAGCTGAGTGCTTTAACTAGTTTCTTCACATGTGCCATTCACGCTGAATGGTAGGAGCTATGAAGTGCAAACCTCAAATCCCTGAGGACCTTGCTGGGCAATACCAGTAATGCACAACTGAGAGCCCAATTGCCTTCTGAACTGTCTCAGCAGATGTGTCAGCCAGGCAAAGGCTGGTGAGCTTGATTGGTCCTGCGAGGGAGGCCTGAAGCATGAGTATTTAGCTGGTACAATTTGTTCCCAAGAGATGCGTTTGCACTTGTGGTTCTGTGCTTATATGATTGTTAATGTTATTCACAATCATAGAAGTATTATACCTCCCAGTTTCCTTCTATTTTATAGCTAGCAGCTCAAGTATGTAAATAAATGTCTGGAGCTCTTTGGAGTTTGGCTTTACCTAATAATATCTTTAAATAAATATTAAAGGCAAGGAAATAAAGCTCCACTAACACTTTTGTCTATATGTGTCAGTCTTGGACAGATTACTATTTGCAGTGGAATATGTCAGAGTATCCAGGCGTGAAGACTGTCCGTTTCCCAGATGGTCAAATTTGGAAACCAGATATTCTTCTCTATAATAGGTAAGCACATCGAACAAAAAGAAAAGTAATTCCATATGTGTATGTTAGCAATCAAGAGCATTTTTGTGTTTTCCTGACATGTTCGATAAGTTATCCATTAATTGATACTATTGTTGGTACAGATAGGAGCTGGAAACACAGGGGATCCAGGGCGGATGATCCCTTCAGGACCAGTGGTGTGAGTGGCGATACTGGGAGGGTAGAGGGAGAGTGGGTTGGAAAGAAGGAACTGATTACAAGGA